TCAGTGTAAGCTCCTTCCAACAGCCCAGACTGGCAACTCTACTGTAACTTCCAGTATTATTGGGTCCGCTGGGACAGGTGTAGCTCTCAAGCTCCCAGTCTCACAGGGAAGACAACATGAAGTGACAATGTACACACAAGATCTATATAGATCTATCTATAGAAGTCACTAGAAATGGGGGCGGGGGCAGGAGAGGCCTCCTGTAGGTGACCTTCAGGGAGGGAGCCCGTCTCATTTGGTGTTAACTGGCGGCTAGAACATTTGTTTTGAGCTGCTCTACCTCTACCTCTCCACGGCTTCCCCACATTGCTCACGTGTGCTGCCCTTTGAGGCCAGGCACAGATAGAATCCCCTTTCTACATGAAAGAGACATTCTGTAGATGAGGAAATAAGGCTACTAAGAGTCAGAGCCAGGACCCAAATCTAGCTCTGGGTCCAAGTCTGGGGCTCTTTCCACCACCATATCCCACTGCCTCTCTAAGGAGAGAGGGAAAGGTGGTCACCAGCCTCTGAGCCCAGGCCAAGAGAGCCTCAGGGCCTCAAGCCAAGGGTTGGAGAGGGGTTCAGTGGTTTGCCTAAGGTCAACACAGCTAGTAAGAGACAGAAGGACAGCTCCTTTTGTCAGTAAGGATGACCCAGCTCTAACTGTATCCTTGTTGTCAGTGGTTTTCAGTAGTGTCTGGTTCTTTGTGACCTACCTACTCAACAGCTTCCGATACGGTCCTCCAAAGCCCATCCTTCACAGCTGCCCACCTAGCCAGGTGGCCTGTCCACTGACCCTTTGCTCTCCCTTTACCCCTGGCCACCCCCCCCACCTTCCAGTGCCACAGGAATTCACACACTTGAGGTGGGGCAGTGGACCCACTCCTGTGGAATTCTGTGGATGAGGACTCTTTTTTTTCTTCACGATGCCCCTCCTGGCAAACAGGCCATCTCCTCCACTGACCTCTTCTGTGTCCTGAGCCTGGACTGAGGGGAATCTCTTCTCTGGCAGACCTAGATGATAAGCTAAAAAAAAAAAAGAGGTGGAGGTACACAATGGCTAGATAAAGCCAAGTGGAAGCCATCGCCCCTCTTTTCTTATAAATCAGGACAAGAGCCCCTCCTGGCTCCCCTTTTCAATTGCCTCATACTTGCTGGCACTTTGCTAAGTTCTCGGCATACAAAGAAAGGCTCTGACACTCCTTCACACATCCCCTGGCTCCTTCCTCACCTCCTCAGAGCCCTCTCTCCCTCCCCCAGCGCCCCACACCTCCCAGTTCCCTCCTCATCTTGTTCTCTTTGTCCCTGCACTTTTATCCTATCTGGCCAGGAGTTCTTCCACATCCTCCTCTCCTCTAGGCTGAAGAATCCTTCCCCCAGGATTTCTTCTTGGTTACTTTCCCTGTAAAGGTGAAAAGGATGAGAAGATGGTAATTTTCTTCATTCACAGAGGGAGAGAAGTTGTTATAGGAAGCACTATAGCAGAAAGGGTAGATGATGTCCCTTGCTGCTGTTACAGTCTGACTACTTCTGGACAGCTCTCTCTTGACCTTCCCCAAGTGCAGTGAAATTCCTGTCATCATTATCATATTATGAAGTCCTGGTAAACCCATGAGTTCACTAGTATGGGTAGTCGCTCCCCTAGTACAGATAGCAACTTTTGCCCAATGCTTTCTCTTTCCGTACATTTTCCCTCCTTGTTTCTCTATGATTCTTCCATAGATAATCTGCCCCACCTCTTTCTTGACATCAGGTCTCCCATCTCCAATTGCTTACTAAACATCTCAAGTTAAATGTCATATTGAAATCTTGAACTCAGTATGTCCAAAACTGAACTCAGTATCTTTCCCCAAAAGCATCCTAACTTCACTATTACTGTCCAAGATACACCATCCTCCCAGTTCCCCAAGTGTCATGTCTTGATCTATCATTCTCTCGTGCTCCCTATAGCTAATCGATTGCCAGGTCCTATAGATTCTGTCTTGGCAATACCTCCTTGATATGCCATGCCCCTTTATTTTCCCTGGCACAACTGCCAACCTACTGCAGGTGCTCATCTCCTCATCCTTAGACTATTGAAATGGCCTTCAAGTTCATCTTGCCAACTCAAGTCCCTTCCCATTGTAGTCCATCCTCCCCTCCCCCAGCAGAGTGATCTTCCTAAAACCCAGGTCTGACCATGGCACTCCCCTATCGCCTCCAGGAGCAAATCTAAAATCTCCCTTTGACTTTTCAAGCCCGTCATGATCAGGTCTCTACCCACCTTTACAATCTTCCTGCATTTTTTTACTCCACATTCTTTGCCATCAAATAGCCCTGGCCTTCTCGCCGCCCCACACACGACACCCCGTCTCAGCCTTTGCACTCCAGACCTTTCCACTGGCTGTTCTCGTTCCTGCCTCCTGCCTTCCCTGGCTTCCTTGCACTAAAAGAACCCTTTTGTGGTACTTCCTATGTTAGTGCCTTCTCTCTGCAATTCGTCCTGTATATACCTTCTGTGTCTGAGGCCATTTACACGTTTTTCTCCCCCCATTAGACTGTGAGCACCCTGCAGACAGGGACTGTTTCTGCCTGTCTTTGTATCCTTGTCACATGGCCCTTCATCGATGCTGCTCGACTTGACTTGCTGGGCAGGGACTTCTTTAGTTGCTTTCCTGTATCTGCAGTGCAAAGTGTAATGCTGAGTTCAGAACAGGTACTTTATGAGTGACAGAATCATGGGAAAGGAATCACCTTTGATTATGCCAAGGGAAGGCTCAAGCTGCTGTTTCTCACATGGAGGAGACGTGAATGTGCTGGGACTCATTAAAATACCTTCAGTAAATGCTTTTTTACAGAGCTGATGGTAATTAAAACCAAGACAAAAACCTGGTCCCTCCTTCCTAGGGGCTTACAAACTACCTTAGAAGAGAGCAAGGGCACAAAAGATAAGTGCAGAGGCATGCCAGACAGCCATGAGAAGCATGAGCATTGGGGTAGGCTGGAGAGGTCTGTGGAGGCCATCATGGGGCACCTTGTAGGCTCAGGCGGCGTGGCCCCCACATGCCTGGCCAAGCACAATTTGGGGGACAGTGAGGAGGCTAGAAGAGGCTGTTGGATTGCGACAGCAGTACAAGCTAATTTTCACTCCCAATCCCTTTGGGAAGGCAGGTGATAATCCCAGGGCTTTGTTTTCTCCCCAGATTTCTCACCCTTGAGGCCCTGGTAAATTATGTGTGTGCTGATCAATCCCAATTCTAGATTGGGTGGGTGGCGTCATGGGCCGGGAACTTGATTTCAAACAGAGGAAGAAAGACTGATGAAGACCAAGGGTATCAGGTAGAATACGAACTCGGGCAAATCCATTCTATCACTCCACATTTCCCTGTATAAAAAAACCCTAATCTGATATTTCTCCACCATCCTGTCTTTTTCCCTCCAATTTAACCCATCACACCCTTGTCTCACACTTTTACAGGTGCTGTATGCATAAAAAGTTTAATAACACCCTAAGAAGAGGGCAGTTAAACAAAAAATTATTTGATAGAATTAAAAATTATTTTAAAACTTTATTAGGAAATGCTTTCTGAAAAGAATGAAATTTCATGATAAAATATAATAAAGTTTAGGGGCAGCTAGGTGGCACAATGCATAGAGCACCAGCTGTGGAGTCAGGAGGACCCGAGTTCAAATCCAGCCTCAGACACGACACTTACTAGCTGTGTGACCCTGGGCAAGTCACTTAAACCCAATCACCTTACAAAAAATTTTTTTAATATAATAAAGCTTAAGCAAAAGAGCAAGCCTGTATCAGAAATTTGACTGAAGAATCAGCAAACTTGTAGAGACAGAAGAAAGGACAGGTGGCATAGAGGCATCTGGGTGACAGAGGCAAAAAGAAAGGAGACTGAAAAGACGAAAAGATGGGAGGAAAGGAAGAGCAGAGGAAGCCTGCTCAAAAGAGGCAGAAGTCAGAGACTGAAGGAAGCCAAGAGCAGAAAAAGAGGAAGAAGCAACAAAGAGGAGACAGAGAAGCTGGAGAGAGGCAGGAGAGGTCCAGGGTGCAACGCAGCAAAGACTCAGTTTGCAGCAAGAGTATGGGTACTTTGAGTGACTTTTCTGTCCGGAGTGCTGTGAGCCCACTCCAGCCTCGGCATGGGATTTGTGTGTGCTACCTGAGACATGCTTGAGAGAGGCTGATGGAAGAGACCTCAGAGGTAGGAGTTCAAGAGAAAGCTGGGCCAAGAGAGAGCAGGCAAACATTTCAGTGGCCAATGGCAGATTTCCTTGAAGCACAGGCATCTAGAGAAGCCAGCACCCAGCACGATCTTTGACTTCCGGAGCCAGCAAGCAGAGAGAGTGGGAAGAACGCCATTTCCCCTTCGTCGAGCTGCAATTTTTCTCTCCTATCCAGTTGACAAGCTCTTCTCTAGTGTATCTTCCTCTAGGCTGCATAACTTCCTAGTTCCTGTTTACTCTTTGCTTAGATAGATGTGTTTGCTTGTTAATCTGACGGTTTGTTTTGTTCCAAGTATTCGGGGGAGGAAGGGAACCTCCCCTTCCAAGTGACGAGGGAAGGTGGCACTGATGCCAACCCCTACAGAATCCTAAGTCTAATAGTATAGTAGATCGATGGAATTCTAATGCAACACTCTCATCTGTAGATAGGATGCCTGTTTGTTCCTACACCTCCTCATCCTGGCTTATCTTCCCCTTAACTATAATCTCCTTTTAAAAATATGGAATGATGGAATGCAGCTTCCACGACCAGGTCAGCAGTCTATCTACCTAGGGCACAGGAAGGCCTTCCAATTTATATTAAACAGACCATCCATTTACTAAATCTGCAAATGATACTGCTCAGGCTTTTGTTGCTATTATAAATACGAAGAACTGACCCCCCAAAAAACCCAATTCTTTTCAGGCAACATGCGTCAACACTGACACCACCTCAGGTTTATTATGCTCCAACCCCCTGCCCAACGAACGAAGACTTTCTATGGCTTTATCTCTAGGCTGAAATGAGCTGATGCACTGCATTGGCTTAATACATGTTTATTGAATGAATTATGAAACATTTTTATAGGCTGACAACGTGCCCTAGCCTTTAGAAAACACCAACATGGATCTATGAAAATGACTTTGTAGCCCATCGGTCTTGTATGAGTACAGACTTTCTGGACAATGAATTCCTGGATGGCATGCTGTCGTCTCTTTATTTGTGTCTCCACAGAATGGATGGCATACTTCCCTCACCATTGATCTCTTCATCGATTTCCTGGCTCACCCAAGCTTTCCAATCAATGGAATTAAGAAATTCAATCTGCAATGGCCAGAATTTCTTTAAGCTTTCTTCGTACCAATTACTTTCAAAAAGGGCAGGAAAGATGAGCCATTCGTATGACAGGTCCAATGTGTCCATCTGACTGACAGCGTAACTGTCCGAGTGAAAGAAGAAACAGTCTGAGGGGTGAAAGGCCAGGCCCCAGACTCTAATCCAGCCCTTCCTTCCTTCCCTCCCTCTCTTCCTCCATCATGCTCACCCTGGATCATGGCACCAAGTGCCCAGCTCAAAGCTGAGAACCTCTGAGCCCTTCGTAACAGGAGAGAATGCCTGTCCACCCAGAATACAACAGGCTGCTCCTCTCTTCAAGGAGGGTGGATGGACAGGCTCTCAGACCCAGGGTAGGGTGACAAAGAGTCACAGAGAGCAGAAGGTGTCCCAGGATCTCTCTCCCTTCCCACTGTACAGACTAATTAAGGCTGGCTATGAAAAGCAGAGGCCTTTCTAGTCTTGGCTGTGAAGACAGCAGTACTATTCTGGTCTTTTTAAGGGACCAGGCAGTGCTGCCTAGTGGAAAGGGTACTGGCCTGAGAGTCAGAAAAATCCAAGGTCGATTCTGGCCTTTAACACACCCTGGCTGAGGGCCCATGATCAAACCACTGAACCTCCCAGCGCCACAGGAAACCCTTTATGGCCATGTGTAAGTGTGGGGAGGAGGGGGGAAGGTTGCCAATCTGCATGGGTAGAAAGAATCCCAAACTGGGAGTGCCCTACTCCCATGAAATCACAGGTCCACCCTGAAATAAAAAGGGGCAGGATGTAGGGTTGGCCCAAAGGCCTACATGTCTAAGGTCCACAGACACAGGGCTGGGCTACATCTCTACAGATGGCTAAGTTCTGGGGGCACTGGATACAACATATGCCAGAGGCCCAAGGCTCCAATTGGAAACGTGTTGGTTTTACCCCCATACCCGTCTCGGGGCCCTGGGATCTCAAGAGTCTTTTGGAATTGGAAGGATAAATCCTACTCCCCTCCCCCACCCTACCCCCAAACAAAACAAAATAAAAAACCCCACCACCCAAAGTCCATTAGAGGTACTCACAGTGCCAGGAAAACATGGATCATGCTGAAAGACTCTTTAATGAATTCCAAGCGGCCAAAATATTTTGCTATCAAAGCCAAGAGATTCTACTCAAAGCAGAAGGAAAAGAGGTCAGGAGCACAGAGGCAGGTTCCCATCCACAGAAAGATGTCACACAGAATGACAACTCTGGGTGCCAGAATGAACAGGGTGGTCTACTGGGGGTACTAAGTGGGGGTGGGTAAGCACAGGAGGACTGAGCCACCCCAGCAAGGACAAATGGAGTCCCATGAAAGAGGACTCCTTGTCTGTAGGCAAAGGTAGGATTGGGCACTCCCAGTTCTGCAGACATAGCCCACGCCAACAAAGACTCTCAAGGCCCTCTTCGCCCCTTTGGAGGCCTTGTGGGGCCTGGCCTCGAGACCTCCCTGAGTTCATGTACATGCTCTAGCACTAACTCTCCTTAGGAAGAGAGAGGCAGGTCTGAAGGAGGGCTCCACGCTACCCGGGGACCACAGCTTGTCTTCCCAGCCTTCTGTTTTCCCACACTGGTTCAACCCTGGGGACTGAGCTTACCTCATCATTGGCATAGTATCTCACATCAGTATTGAGGAAGTTTTCAATGACTGGATCATCTGGGGAGGAAAAGGACAAGTTGTCCTCGTGTCACTGGTGTTTCCTGGCAGGCTGAACCCCAGACTACCCTCCAACAGTGGGGACAAACAGCTTTTGTAGGGAAATCAAGGGCCATGGAATCACGCCAAGGTCGTGTGGGCACTCCAAGGCAATCCCATCAATAGAGAGGAAGAGGCCATCCTCCAGGGGGACCCCAGCAGCTGGAGGGAGCCCTTTCACCTCCACAGCTGACTCCATCACCCTCCCCCCACCCCCCCGCCCTGGGCACTCTTTCCCATTTACATGGGACTCCAAGTTAGCTCCTCAATCAACAGAGCTCCATTTGGCAAGCACTCACGCAGAAGTTCGTAGAAGACTGCAAGGTCTTTGGACCTGAAGCCACCCACTCTTGTCCTCTTCATCTTGATCCGAGTATCTCCCACTTCAGTCACCGTCCATTTATATTTCTTCCTTTTCTTCCCCTGCCTCCCTTCTGAGTCAGGGCCTCTCCCATTCGTCGGAGCAGCCTGTTCACTGGCTGGAAGAAGAAGAAGGGGTATCAGAGACCACAGGGTGAGTCACTCCCCCAATCTCTGCCTCCTCTACTGCACAAACAGACACTGTGAGTGCCACAGAAGCCAAGCTCCAGGCTACACCAGCCCGCCCCCTCCAACCACAGGGTCAGGGAGTAAGGGGACTTTTGGCTCCCTGAACTCTCCTCTGTGAGGTGGAGATGTCCTGACCACTATGAGGAAGACAGGCTAAAGCAGGGGTGAACCCCCTGGCAGTCATGGGAAGCCACAGTAATGGTTTCTGCTTGGGTTCACAGCTGCAGGAAAAGCTTAGTATTGGCTAGAAATCAGGGAAAACAAAAGATTCATTTCTTTTTCCCCATGGACCCCCTGAAGTCTATCCATGGACCCCAGGTTAAGAAGCTCTGGACTAAAGGAAATTAGGGGAGAATTACTTCAGGATCAAACATTCTTCTACCAAAACCAAGGTACAAAAATTGTTTTATTATTCTCACACTAAAGGTTAATGCCAATCAGGACTTCATTTAAAATGTACCCACAAAGGCCACAAAGAAATGGAATTAAGGGAAGCACTTTACATTATTGTCTCAGGTTTTCATAATGCCTTTTGGGTGTTACTGCACTGCCATTTCCCCATATACCTGCTTTCCTCCTTTCCTCTTCATAAACAATAAAAATTTTGGCAAAACCGGCCAAACAGCAAACCCAACCTTCCGCACCCACTGTTCTCTGGGCCTCTTGGTCATTCTCACAAGTCTGAGCTCGGCTGTCAGGTGATTATTTTAAGTGGACATTCTGTTGTCACCACGGTAAATACTGTCCTCCTGCTTCTTAGTTTCCTGTCTCAGAATCAGTCCATTCAAGTAGACTGGCTTGTCATTATTATCATTTCTTCTCCAGATCTAGGATCCATATTCCCTCCATGCTCCTTGAACATGCTCACTAGGGTCACTGTGTCTCAACTCCCTCCAAGACCAATCCTCTCTCTCAGTCTACCCCACACAGATTTGGGTCCATTTACTCTACTCCCAACAGCTACTTTCACAAAGATCACAGACAATTTCTTTGGAATCCTGACTGGGAACACAGACCTGAAGCTGGAAAGACCCTCAAAGGCCACCTAAAGTTGTGATGTTACAGCTGAGGAAACTGAGGCCTACACAGGGGAAGTGACTTGCCCAAGGCCACACCAAGAGTAATTCTCTGAACCAGATGCTCCAACTCCAGAGGCAGAGTCCTGTTCACCATACCACACCCTTACTGAATGAAAACACTGAGAGACTGAATACTTCCCTGCCTCACCTTCCCATTTCATTTTGGAATGGAAGCCAACTCAGAGACAAATGGAGAGAGCTAAGCTGTAGAGGGCAGAGCACCCCAACTCAAAAATCAACAGGAACATAAAGCTGTGGGCCGTGCTGCTGGGGAGGATCACTCGAGTTCAGGAGTTCTAGGCCATCCGAGGACTAAAGCAGACCAGGGGCTCCACTAAGTCTGGGAGGGGAGGGCCAGCAGGCTGCCTAAATTAGAGGAGTGAACCAGCACTGGTTGGAAAAACTGAGCAGGTTAATGCCGATCAGTATTCAGATCAGCCTGCAAGGAGCTGCAACACTTCCAGGCTGGGTGAGATAGAGAAACAAAGTCTCTTTAAAACCCTCCCAAAGCAAGAACCACCACAGAAGTGGGGAGGAAGACCGGCTTGTAAGGGACATGGACAAAGGATCGTCCTCTAGTCTCTTGTATGTGAGACCTGGTGCCAGGAACGGCAGGGGAAGTGGAGCTAAATGCACTCAAGGCACTCTGGGAGGTTTAGAGCTCTGCGGTGCACTATAGAGCTCAGGGTGGCAGATCATGAAAACCAGCTGACAATGAATCCAATATCGCACCACAAGTTGATGGCTACTGGAGGATGAGGCAACTGGCAAACAATGACAAGGTTTATGATAATATCAAGGATAGAATCAGGTGAGTGCAAAAGGCCCAGGGGCTTTGACTGGAGCAAGTTCTAGGAGCTCTGGTTTACCTTCAATGCCTTTAATCTGCCCTGATCTCTGACAGGTCAGAGAGGAAATCAAAGCTTTTCCCAGACTGATGCTGGGGCTGTCCAAAACACCCAGCCTGGAGTCCGGAACTAAAGAGGCAGTTCCAAACGCCCCATCTCTTATGCCCCAAACACACCATCTCTTACGCCATCAGCTAGATCCCCAGGATTTCAGTCCCTCTTCACTGGCCCCAAATGATCTCTTCCATCTCCTCCAACCCCATTTCCCCAAGACATCCCTGAAAAGGTCCATCCCTCTAAAGCCCACACCCATGTGCTATCAAGAGGCCCCATTTAACCTCAGCTCAATGGTTTGGACCACTCCTGTGAGAGTAGTGTGGGTGTGAGTGATCACCAACAGGAAGTCTCGGAGGGACCAGTCATGGGTGGGATATAGTCGTCTCCCCAAGTTCTTAGGGAAAGAGACCTGGGCCATTTTCCAAAGCTCTCCCCTTCTCCAGCCTCCTCTTTCTCTTGAGCTCCCTCACCCCTTACTTTTTTCTCCCCCTCCACCCACAACCCACCACCAGGGACTACATTTTCACTCTTTCAAATCTCTCCCCATTTAGGGGCCTTCCCAGGAGCCTCCTTGGCTCCTCTCACCCCTTTACCCTCACCTGAAGTCCTTGGACCAGCTTCCATCTCTCTGGTCCTGGTGAAGTGTCTGGTGGGGAGGGCTGATTGATTCCCCCTGAGTGAGGGAATGAAATGAGGGTAACTCATCAACTCTCCTGAGACTGCTGAGATCAGTGACCACACCAACTAGGTGGTCATTGGGCTCTAATGACCAACTCTTTTTCTTTGCCAAATCCTCCTCTCTGTTTCAACATCTCAAGCAAGTGGCACAGACAAGTGCCAGCGTTCCAATGACTCAGAAGATTCCAGAGCAGGAGCCCCGAAGCTCCCAGGGCCATCAGATCGTTCATAGTTCTACCTGGGAAAAGGGGCCCAGTTCAAAATGCACCATGGGCCTCCCCAGGCTAGACTTCTCCTGACCAGTAGAGGAAGACCCCTCCGTGTTAGTGTGCCGAAGAAGACAGGAGGAGGAAGGGAAAAGAGAAGGAAGACAATCAAGAGGGCCTGGGCCTCTGGCCCCACGATGCCTACCCATGACACTCTCTCTCCTAACCAGAAACCCTCTGCCCTGAACACTCAAAGACACACACACTCTGCAGACACCACACTTCGAAGGATGTGGCCTGAGATCACAGCAGAGGGTTTGGCTGCCATCTCACACTGTGGATACACGTTGACCTCGTGGCAGTCGTAAGAAAACCCTCAAGTCTTCGTGACACAGTCTGCTGGAACACAGGGCTCCTCAGCTGAGACGGCTGATTTCTCTTTTTAAACCTCAGGCATGCACTGCTCCTGGGTTGGGGTCACCATCCAGGCCTGTCGAGGCCTTTCTGGGTTCTCATTGAGTCACCTAAGTTCTTCATAACCATCCCTCTCAGCTTTGTCTATCACCTGCCAGTTGGACCGACACACCTTTCATGCCTTCCTGTATTGATAAAAATGTCCAACAGAGAAGGGCTGAGGACAGAGCCCTGTAGCACAAGACCCAAAGGTAGCAGCTAATCTACTGATTGACACCAGTTACTCAACAGCCACCGAGCCATCTAACCAAAGTCTGCAGCACACATCTATCTCTCCAGCTTTTCCACAAGAGCCCCTGGTGAATGCTTGGTTGGAATCCAGATATGCTATGGCTATAGAAAGACAGTCTAGGTCACCCTGTTAGGGGAAAAACAAGGAAAGGAAGTTAGCATGGCATGAAAACAAAGGGGTGGAATTAATTGGCCTCAAACACTCCTGGCAACTCTAAATTCTATGATTTCCAACTTACTCCTAGTGAACCTATACGGGCTGGCCCCTAGAAAGGAAGCAATGACTGCTAAATGCTCAGAACATACACTTCGATTCTAGAATTTGTAGAAGATGGAAACTGAACTAGCCCTGCTATAGCTCGCGACTCTCTTGTCTCCAGTCGTGTAAGAGCTCTTTCCTACAGTGGTTCAGTGACTGGCCACTTGGGATGCTGCTCATGGACAGAGACTGTGCCCCAAGACTTTGAACTCTCTCACACTGCCCCAGTCTGGGCAAGTTCTACTCCAGCTTTTAGCTCTTTGATTTCAGGGACTCGGGGCCAGCCAGTCATTGGTAAGTTTCCAATCTCCCTCATATGGCACATCACAGTTGGCAAGATTTTGAAGAGGTTCATGAACTACGCCCACTAGCCTCAGGTGCTGGGGCTAAGGCTCAAAGTCACCTCCACTCAGAATGTGCTGGGCTGCATTACCCACGGAACTGCCTGATGTCCTGTTTGAGGTGAAGCATGTTCTCAGCAGAAGCAACACCATACTAGAAACTATACCTGGAAGAAACCTTGTCTTTACAATCTGTGTTCCAATAGGGAGTATTCTCGCACCTATGAAATCCCATATCTGTTAATGAGAAGAGCCGAATTCTGCATCCAGGTCACTTGGACTAAAGCAACAGCCCTCCTCTTCGTTCCATTTCTAAACTGAGCTTAGATCATTAACCAGGGGAAGTGGTATTCTGTGGTTTGTCTTTTGTTCTCAAAGAGGACCATAACAACACAGAGGTGATGACACGACTTGCAATTAAACTGGATTGGGAGGGGGTACCCTATGCAAAGTGACCAGCCTCACTTTCTCCTCCAGAGTCATCTGGGTCCAGTGGCCAGGTGTTCATCAGGATGACTGTAGATGAGCCTGGATGCTGTGGGAGACCTTGGACTTTTGAAGCTAAGGTCTTTTCAGATTCTCACTTTGAGTGAAGCAATGCCCATTCAGTGAATAGGCCTCTAATGTTATAAGAATGCATTATATCATATTATGTTATATTATGCTGTATTATATGTAGTATAGGAAGTGTAAAAAGAAGAAGGGGTGTATGGAGCTGGGAGAAAGATCAGCAGTTGGCAAGTACTACTGAAAATCCCTGAAAGCACATATTCTGCCACTGGCCTGCTGGGAACCAGAAGGGCTGAGGAAATTGGGGGGGGGGCAGGAGGAGAGAGGAAGAGAAAAGGGAAGAGAAAAGAGAACGGGTGGAAAGAGGCAAGGGGGGAGGAGAAAAAAGGGAGGGGGAAAGAAAGGGGGGTGGAGAGGGAGGGGAGGAAGGAAAGTTCAGGGGAGGAGGAGGGAGGGGCAAGGAGGGTGGGAGGAGTGAGTGAGGAGTGGAGGGGAGAAATGGAAGAGGGGTGAGAGGGAGGAGGAAGAGTGGGTGAGGAGGGGGAGGAAGTGGGGAGAGGGAGGGGCAAAGGGAGGGGAGGGGGGAAAGTGGAAGAGTGGAAGGAGGGGAAGAGGAGGGGAGGGGGGAAGGGGAAGGAGGGAGAACAGAAGGGGAGGGGAGGAAGTGGGGAGAGGGGGCGAGGGAGGGGTGAGTGAGAGGTAGAAGGGGAGGAGGCAGGACTGGAAGGGGAGGGGGAAGGAGGGGAACAGCGGAAGGGGAGGGGGGGAAGGGGCGGGAGAAGAACAGAAAGGGAGGGGGAGGAGGGGAGAGGGAGGGAGAAGAACAGAAAGGGAGGGGGAGAAGGGGGGAGATGAGGAGAAAGGGGAGGGGAGGTGGGGAGGAGCAGAAGTCGGGGAGAGGGGGAAGCGCTTTCCTAGGCGTACGTGAATGGAAACGTACATGAAGGCACATGGGCTCCAGGTGACCAGTCTGATCTTCTTGGAGCTCCCTAGACTGGCCTCATTTCCAGCTCACGTACTAGGAAGCCGCTAGAAGGGAGGGGAACAAGCATGTAGCTAGCGCCAACTACGTGCTAAGCATTTTTCCCAAACATTGCCCTATTATTGTTAATGCCGCCCATGATGGTGATGTTATTGTTATCCGCGTTTTACAGTCGAGGAAAATGAAGCCAATAGAGCCGAAGTGATTTCCTGAAGGCCTCCCAGCTCGCGAAGCGTCTGAAGCTGGGTTTGAACATGCGTCTTCGGACGGCGAGCCTAACGCTCTGCGCACGATGGCGCCACCCTCGCTTCCCAGCGAGCAGACCGCTAGACGTGGACTCAATTATGACTCTGGGCAAGTCTCTTCGCCCGTTCACCTCCTCCATAAAATGGCGCCAATACTAGAATCTGCCTCCGTGGGCTGCTGCAAAAATGAAATGAGGTCACACTCGCAAACCGTGAAACGACATATACATTCTAGCTATCATGGCCGCCTCGCTGGAGGAAGACCGGGGGGCAGGAGGGCCGAGAAGACAAGCCTTACAAACTGTGGAGGGTCGGGAAGAAGAGGCCGGGAATCGGAGTCATTCTGCTGCTGCTGCCGCCCCAAGAACGGAGCCCACTGCCCAACCTCGCTGGGCACCTGCCTCGTACCCACTCAATGCCGGGACCCCACGGCTGCCTCCCTCCCAGGGAATTTACCTGGATCTCGATGTGGGTCGTGCGGCTTCCTCGGAGGCGCCGAACGTGACCTTCGGCAGTGGCAGCTCGGCCCCCAAAAGATGCCCCTGCACTGAGCCAAGCACGGGCTGCCACCTCAGGATCCCGAAGGCCACCCTGCACAGCCGAGAAGCACGAGAACGACCTCGCTCTCTCGAGCCTGGCTCAACACTGAGGCTGCCCACAGCGCTCCGGGGGTGGAGCCTCAAGTTCCCGCTCAAAGAGGGACACGTGGCAGGGGCCGGTGAGGTGGGGGATGGGCCCGAGCCCGGAGCCGGTAGAGCCTCCCAAGCAAACGGGACTTAAGGAAAAGAAGTGAGGCGCTTGCAGGGGACGTGGCTGTAGTGCTCAGGCCCGAAATTAATCATTTCTAACCGACAGGCTATTAACCTGTAGTGGAAAAACTGGTGGGGGGAGGGGCCTCCCAAGCCTCCCTTCCCCTTCCCGTCCCTAGCCTGTCTTCCCGCCCAAAGTGAGGCATGCACGCAAGGAGGCTTGCTCACCCAAAGTGAGGCATGCATGCAAGGGGGCTAGCCCACCCCAAAGTGAGGCATGCACGCAAGGAGGCTTGCTCACCCAAAGTGAGGCATGCATGCAAGGGGCCTAGCCCACCCCAAAGTGAGGCGTGCACGCAAGGAGGCTTGCTCACCCAAAGTGAGGCATGCATGCAAGGGGGCTAGCCCACCCCAAAGTGAGGCGTGCACGCAAGGAGGCTTGCTCACCCAAAGTGAGGCATGCATGCAAGGGGGCTAGCCCACCCCAAAGTGAGGCGTGCACGCAAGGAGGCTTGCTCACCCAAAGTGAGGCATGCATGCAAGGGGGCTAGCCCACCCCAAAGTGAGGCATGCACGCAAGGAGGCTTGCTCACCCAAAGTGAGGCATGCATGCAACGGGGTTAGCCCACCCCAAAGTGAGGCGTGCATGCAAGAGGGTTAGCCCGGGAGCCCGCCAACTGGGGCTGGAAAAAGATCTGCTCCCCCCCTCCTTCTGGGAAGCGTTAGGGGTTGTGTTGAAGGAGAGGCAGGACTAAGCTTATGGAGTTTCCAATTATGCCAGAAAGACAAAGAAACCCTCATTAACCAAAGGGAGGAGAAATATTTGTAGGGAGCCATCTTGCCCTGGGGATTCTGAATGGGCGGCATTCCCAGAGCAGCTCTGGTTCTTACTCAATTGCTGAGGTTCCCTAAATAATGCTGCTAAAAGCTGAAAGTGATAAGACTTGATACAAATCAGCAAAGCCTAACACAGCATCTTCAATTTGCTCTTCCAGTAGTGGTGAAAAACAATTCAAGCCTTAAAGAGCTAGCCCTCTTTTTTTTTTTTGGTGAGGCGGTTGGGGTTAAGTGACTTGCCCAGAGTCACTCAGCTAATAAACTGCCCAAGAGCTAACCACAGAGCCAGAACATGAAACTATGCTAGCTATACTAAGTTGGAAGATTCTGAGAATTTGAGTTTTGACATACCACTTGCCCTTTCTATCCCGGAAACCTACATATGATACGGATAATACTATGTACAAGATAAAAGCAGCATTTTCAAAAGAATCCATGGAGTTCCGACTTGTGAAATGAGTCCTTCTTTCTTTTAATATTATCAGATAGACTTCAGAACAGAAAAAAAAGAAAACACGATTTAGGGGCAGCTAGGTAGCTCAGTGGATAGGGCACCAGCCCTAGAGTCAGGAGGACCTGAGTTCAAATCCAGCCTCAGACACATGATCCTCACTAGCTGTGTGACCCTGGGCAAGTCACTTAACCCCAACTGCCTCCCTGAAAAAAAAACACAATTTAAAACTTTCCTTATATAATCTTACATGTGAAATCCTTAATTCATTTTGAGAATTACAGAAAATTACTAAATTAAAGTCAAACCCTATATATTCTAGACAAAAGAAATTTTTTTTTATGAAAATAATTAAAGTGTGTATATTTAATTGGACCTGAAGGAAGTTCAGTACTTTGCTCTACTTTTCCAGTCTTGTTCTTAATTACCTTCAGGATCAAAAGAAAAATTAAATATATGGTACCAGGAATATCACATTTCTTTGTCCTTTTATCATTTTAATAGAGATATTTGAAAGCCAATCATATATTCTAGTTCTTAGTGAAAAAAGTTTTATCTTGTTGCTTTTCTCAAAGTGAAATCCATTAAAATTTAAAATTTACATAAGACTTTGACATATTTATCACACTATACCTTTGTCCTATCCCTCCTTTGAGGAGATACAGATATACAAATATCACGACATCACCTAAAAAAGATGTAGTATTGTGAAGACTTGGTGCTACACATAAATAAACAATTATTAAAAAGAGAATGGACAGCAAGCCTGAGGACTTAAGTTAAGAAGATGAAACAAATAGTGACCACAACTTCAGAATAGTAAAAATAAAAGCAATAAAGTCTTTCACACTTGCATCCTATTATATTAACTCAGGGATGTTTGAGTATTACAACACCATGGGTGGGTGGGTGTGTGTGTGTGTGTGTGTGTGTAACACCTTTACAATTTGCCCGCCACAGTTATAGAAACTTGCTATTAAAGGAAAATGGAGGGACATGGTTATAACAATATCGACACTGTCCCTTCTAGAGCACAGACTGACCTAAGTATATCAGACTAAAGCTTCCTTACTTTGATTTGATTCCAGGTAAGAGTCATAGTTAACTTTTATTTTGTAACAGCCAAACATACAACAAAAATCCACAATATTCACTGAGCATCACAGCAAGACTCAGGATTGACCAGCTAGGAAAATTTGCTGTTCAGAAAGGAAATAGCACAAAGGGAAAACTGAGGCAAGGGAATCTTGCAACTTCCTTCATAAGGCCATCTTCTCAGCCTTTCCAAGCACAGACATTCACCCATAGCAGTCTCAGATCATACTCTCTTTGAGCACCTCATAACATTTCTCTTGAATGGAGGATTATTAACTTAATGAGAATTCAGACAATTATACCTGAAGTCCAAACTTGGAACAGTATCAAATTACGGTTCCAAGAAATGTTACCTCAAATAGCAAGTTTCACTAATGACAGCATATGGCTAGGTACAATTATTATTATTTATTATTCTTATTATTTTATCAACTTGTTATAATAACAGTTAACAATAAAAGACATTTACCTCTAATACTCATTAAGTACAAGGTCTTGTCTTATTCTTCCTTCCAAGTTTAAAGATATCCTGAAGCAAAATTCAATCATTAGGATTTAAGAAAAGAATTACATTCATGCAGTGCATATATGATAATTCACTCAAAACCCAGAAAAACACTGACCATGGTCAGCTTCCAGGCTAACAGATATCCACATCTGAAGGTATTCCATATTAACTGTTAAGGCGCAAGTAAAATCTTTAAATCCTAGGGTCTGTTAAAACTAAGTTGGCTTAAATGTGTAACTTCAATACATACTATTTTTTTTAATACATACTATTAAAGGTGAGATTTTATAATTTTGATAATCAGTGACCAAACAATTCATTAGATCAAAATATAAGTTCTTATAAAACAAACTTGCAAGCCCCCCCCAACTTTGGCTGTGAAATGTCCTAGTTCCTCATTAAAACACTGCATTATCTAAGAATTTCACAATAATCTTTCAGCAACTACTTTTCCAGGCTTATAAGATTTTATGACCTTGCCCAAATAGAAGGTCTCAAGGAACTTGACAAATCTTCAAAGAATTTCACAAATAAGGAGAAATTACAAGGTCTGTTGTACTTTTCCTGTTATTATTATTATTATAAAGCAAAATATATCCAATTAAATACTTAACAGTTTTCAAACATTGCAACCACATTTTCTGGTAGTCCAATAATTCTTAAATTATTTTTCCTCAATCTGATTTCCAAGTCCTCAGCTGACCTGGGCTGGAAAAATGACATGCTATGGATTTTTGTTGGCTTTCACACTCAGAATTTGATTTAATGTTTTCTATAGTCCCTTTGTGGGAGAGATTTTGGGGGTAAGTTTGGCAGTTGTTACTATTCCTACCAACTCAACTCCGGCCCATGACCACATTCTCTACAAGCTCAAGTTGATCTAACAGCATCCAGAATAAAAGGGAAGTTAATTTTCTAAGAATACAATTACATAACTCTCTAGGTAACCATTTTTCAAATTCATAGCATTTCTTTTACAATGATTTGCCAAATATCACAATACAAGAAAGATTAGAAGCCTAACAATAACACAAGCAGCATTATGGATCTTTAAACATGAAATGAAATTTATTGCCAGACAAATGACATCAATGCAGTTGAATGTATTTTTTAATTATCTTACATAGAAAATCATTTAATCTATCAATTGAATATTCTATACTGTTTGCATTCAGAGATCATTATAAAGTAATTTGGATCTAATTATACTTTCAATTCTTATTCATGAAGTTTATAAGCATATTGCCCTAATGTTTAATATTAAAAGTGTATTTTGTATTAAGGCCTGAGGTACCTTTGGTAGGTCAAACATCACAATTCTCCTAATAGGAGAACACATCCTAACTAGATGAGATCACATAATGATTTAGTTTAGGACAAAACTCAATCAATCCAATCTGGATTTACAATTACAAATAGTATCATTCAAAATCTCAATCTTCCCAAGGGCCATTAGCTGCCAGCACCTCAAATTATTGGACCCATTACTTTCAGTTACTCTACTCCCAAAAGATTTGTGTTAGCAGTTTTGCCTCCCTCTTTTGGGGCCCATGAGGCTCTCCTAGGATATGAAAATTGCAAACTTAATGATATTCATGAATATATATATGCCCTATGTAAAGACAGGAACAAACCCTTCTAATGGTCCTTCAAGCACAGAATTTTAATAAGAGATACTCAATTCCATGCTGCAAATTTATTCCTACATTTTCTTTGTAAATGTTGTAACTGAATAGAATACTGCCAATTTTAAATTGTACTCCATAATTATAGCTATTTTCATATCAAAAAGAATATCCAGGGGCAGCTAGGTGGTGACACTTACTAGCTGTGTGACCCTGGGCAAGTCATTTAACCCCAATTGCCTCGCCAAAAAAAAAAAATACAAATTAGTGAAATAAACATCAAATATCATGAGAAATTTCAAAATTTAATCTAACAGGCATTTCTCCAAATGGTATTAACAAATTTACAGGCATAGAAAGAGTCTCATATCCTTATTTCAACGATTAAAAACAAAAAAACCCTTCCCTCTCTTCTCTTTTTTTTGTGGACTTTGATTAAAGGTCTACAAATTTTGAAACTGCCTCTCTACTTATATACTCTGATTAGACTACT